GGGGCGACATTGGGCTTCTGAATGTCGCTCGATGAAGGATAAGGATGGAAATCCCATAGTTCGGGATCAAAATGGAAAGCCTGTACCTAAGCAAAAAAACGGATGGCGGGGCCCCCGACCCCAGGGCCCGCAAATATATGGGGCCATGCAGGGGAATACCCAGGAGAGGTCGCTCCTAGCGCCTCCGGGGAGCCAAGGAGAGCCACTAAAGGTTCCGCAGGACTGGACCTCTGTGCCACCACCACAACAGTATTAACCCCCCTCATGGGGTGCCAACCGGTCCCATCTGATTTTAAGGGGCCGTTACCTGATAATACTGTAGGACTCGTCCTTGGCAGGTCTTCATCAACTCTGCAGGGATTAATAATTCACCCAGGAGTTATTGATTCAGATTTTGAAGGGCAAGTAAAAATTCTTTGCTCTTCCACTAGAGGCATAGTTTCCATATATCCAGGAGACCGGATAGCACAGTTGCTAATTTTACCTAGCCTCCATTCTTTATTCCCTAGTAAACAAAAAATCAGAGGAGAAAAAGGTTTTGGCTCCTCTGGAGGAAACTGTGCATATTTGTCATTGAATTTAGATGAACGTCCTACTATGGACTTAACCATACAAGGAAAGACATTTACAGGCCTCCTAGATACAGGAGCTGACACTAGTATAATTTCTGAACGCTGGTGGCCAAAAACGTGGCCATTGGCCCCCTCAGCTCAGACTCTGCAGGGATTGGGATATGCATCCTCTCCAGTGATCAGCGCCCAGACACTGAAATGGAAGGATAATGAGGGTAGAGAGGGTAGTTTTCAACCTTATGTTCTGCCTTTGCCTGTGAATCTTTGGGGTAGAGATTTGCTACGGCAATTGGACTTCAAATTGACCAATGACTACTCTGTTCAAAGTCAAAAGCTGATGAAAGCATGGGCTGTGTCCCAGGTAAAGGGCTTGGGAGGAACTTGCAGGGAAGAACTGAACCTATAGAGCCTGTGCCACGACCCTCTAGGCAAGGGCTGGGTTTTTCTTAGGGGCCGCTGGGGATCCTCTGCCCATACCCTGGAAAACAGAGGAGCCAGTGTGGGTACCTCAGTGGCCCTTACCCTCTGAAAAGTTACTCGCGGCCCATAAGCTAGTGCAAGAGCAGCTTACTCTTGGGCATCTTGAACCCTCTCAATCTCCTTGGAATACCCCTATTTTTGTGATTAAGAAAAGGTCTGGTAAATGGAGACTGTTGCATGACCTTAGAGCAATTAATGCCCAGATGCAGCTTATGGGGCCTGTTCAAAGAGGACTGCCCCTTCTCTCGCTTTGCTAAACATTGGAGTCTAATTATCTTGGACATCAAAGACTGTTTTTTCTCTATTCCCTGCACCCACAAGATAAAAGCAGATTTGCATTCACGCTTCCTTCCATAAACCATGAGCAGCCTGATGCAAGATATCAATGGCAGGTTTTGCCTCAGGGCATGGCTAAAGTCCCACTATGTGCCAACTTTATGTGGCCTGGCTATCCAGCCGGTTAGGCAGAAGTTTTCAAAGGTAAGAATTATACACTATATGGATGATATTTCTAGTCTGAGTCTCCATCATGACCATCCCCCAGATGGTGCACATCTCACTCATTATGTATGTATATACCCGCCCCCCTCCCCCCTCCCACCTCCCCTTTGAATAGAGATGTGAATGTAAAACAAGGTGAGATCTGCAGGGATGACTGGACAGAGCTACCTCTGTGAAAAAACGGGGCAAAAGCTCTGGAACTTACTTAATAGTAGCCAGGAAATGAGTGGATAAAAAAAAAATTGTGTTATGTATGCATAATGGAATATTATTCAGCCATAAAAATGAATAAAATCCTGTCATTAGTGGCAACATGAATGAACCTGTAGAATATTATGTTAAGTGAAATAAGTCAGAGATAGAAGATAAATATTGCATATTCTCACTTATATGTAGGAGCTAAAAAAGTTGAGCTCACAGAGTAGAATTGTCATTACTAGAGGTAGAAAGGATTGGGTGTTAGGGAAAAGCTGGGTAACATATACAAAGTTACAGCTAGATAGGAGGAATAAGTTCTAGTGTTTTACAGTACTGTAGGGTTACTATAGTTAACAATACTTTTTGTATATTTTCAAATAGCTAAGAGAGAGGATTTTAACTGTTCCCAACACAAAGAAATGATAAATGCTTGAGGTGATGGAAATGTTAATTACTCTGATTTGATCATTACACATTGTATATATGTATCAAAATACCATTTTGTGCCCTATAAATATGTACAATTATTATGTGTCAATAAAAAAAGGAACACTTGGGAGAAGAATAGATTAGTTCAAAGAGCTCAGCAGGCAGCAAGTCACCTAGGGATTTTGACCACAGTGAAACATTTGGATTGGAGTTCACGTGCAAAGGCAAAGGTTTGGAAGATTTCAAGCAGAGATGAGTCATGATCTGATTTATATTATTTAAAGGTCACTCTGGGCTTCTTTGGAACTTTATGTAGAGAGTGTAACAGGGCAAAGAGAGATCTATTTCATAGATATTTCTGAAATCTACATGAGAAATAAGGACATATGGAGAGAAGGGAATTCCTAAGGGATATCATTTTGAGGTAGAATCTATAGGAATTATTTATGAATTGGTTGCAATTCATGAGGGACAAGAAAAAAGTAAAAATGGTCCTACATTTTTGGATTGAGTATGTAGGTGGGTGGTAGTTCTAGTTACAGAAATGGGAAAGAATAGGAAAACAGCAATTTTGTCAGGGGTGGAAAGACAGAGGTGTGTCTTGTTCTGTTTCATATGTTAATTTTGAAGTTCTCTTAGACCTCTATCCAGCGGAGATGTCCGGAGCCAGTTTAATATGTGAATTTGAAACTTAATAAAGAGTTCTAAGTCAAAGACAAAAACTGAGCATTTCCAGCATCTTCAGTATTTAAAGCTACTGTCACATGAGGTAATATAAGACTATGCAAGGGATATCACAACATTTAAAATTTGAGGAGAGGAGGAAATGGAGAAGTTGGTGACTCCTAGAGGAAACCGAGGGGGAGGTGGTGGCATGGAGAACAGTGAGGAAAGCACTTCAGGAAGCAGGGAGTAGCCAGCTGTGCATAATTCTCCGGGGACTTAAGTAAGACATAGGGATGTATGCAAGATACCTTCTGTTTACCCTTCCAGTTCCACTTTCCATCCTTCTCCTACCCTATTTATCCTGGAAGACTGAGATGGTGGAATAATCAGCAGCTTCCTTGATCTCTTGCTTCTGTCAACCCAGCTACCTAGGATCTCCATCATGAAACCTGTTGGAGAGAGGACAGTAAATTCAGGGTGCTTATTCCCCTATATCACTATTTTAGGGCTTGCTTTTGACTGGCAATGTCCCTCTACGAGAGGGCATAACTCCTCTCCAGGTGGTCTTTTTCCCACGACTCTTTCCTTTCTGATTAGTAAGTGCATCCTCCTTCATTATTCCAGGATTAGGGTCAATAACAGCCCCAAAGTTAATTGACTGTGGGTGGTATATTATCCTTGTGGTTTTCCTAGATTTGTCCTACAGTTTGTAAGTAAATTCTGTATTCAACTTCTCTTGAATTATATGAGTTTGATTATATTATCTGTTTCCTGTTGCAACCCTGATTGTTGCAGTGCATAAAAATTATGTTGGATTGGAGCATGGAGACCGTAGCTGTCCTCGACAAGAGCAGTCTCAGCTCTTGATGGGGGGTGAAGCCTAACTGGAGAGTGTGCATAGGGAAAATGATGTCAGAAATTAGAAACCGTAGCAGTAGAACATATTTATAGGATGTTTTGCTGTAAATTGGACAGGGAATTGGAGTAATTTTTGAAGAGGGTTATATATATGGTAAAAGGGAATAAAATGAAATAAATTTCAAAAACATTATCCTCCTTATAGTGAGAATTTTTGTGTGTGTATGGTATCCATTTATGTTACCTTCTTATAGAGAAGAATCTTTGATGCTGGGGCTCTGAGGGGGAGCAAGAGGATGTTTTAGATGAACAATGGAAAGAAATAGTAGAAACTCTATTTCTTAGCTCAACTCTGTTGCTTCATTTTAGAACAAATAGAAAATAAAGGAAAGAATCTTTGACATTTGTTATAATTTTACTAGGTTTTCCCAGTAGGAAAGAAAGCAGAAATTAAGTGGAAAGGCTCTATTCACTGTTCCCTTTGTGAAAGTTGTGTTTTGCTAACCTATTTGAATGTTATATATAGTTGGAATATGAATATCAAAGAATAGCATGCACAAGGATAATTCAGTACATTCTATCATTTATTTTATACATAAGTACTCTAGCTTATAAGATAAATTAACTACACTTGGAAATAACAGCTAATTTCAGACTTTAAAAAGTTGCTTTCAATTTCTTCAACTCTATGCTTACAGCAATTTGCAGTTTGCCTCATAAACAAAGGTGTTGGTGTAAGATACATCTGTGGGAAAAATGAGAGAGGTATGAACCTGCTGTGAGATCAAGAATGCCTGGGGAGAAATAGGGTCGTGTAGATTTTAATTGCTGAGAATCACCCCTTAGTTCTCATTTATTTATTTCCCAAGGAAATACATATGGGGCTTTAAAAAGAAGAGAGAAAACACAGCTGAGAGTAGAGAAACAAAGCAAGTCTAAAGTTTCAAGCATAGTCAATAAAAAAGAACAAATCTGTAAGCTTCCAGCCTTGTCAAACAATGATCACAACGATCACGACCCTCTTCACAGGTCTCCTGTGACTAGCACAGTTCTAGACGATGCCTCATTAGTTCAGGAGAACTGGAAATGGCCTGCTACTACATGTGTATTACATTCAAAGGAGCTGCTCATTTTCATGATAAGCTTGACAGATTCATTTGAATAGTGAAATTGAATTGCTACACAGCAAATATAAAGTTTTAAAAATATATTTTATTAACCTGTTTTTGAGATTTTTCCCATAAAATAATTACATAATAAAATATAGATAACAAATGAAACCTATCTAGGTCAAATATTGAAGCTATCAGATTCTGAAGATTGGCAGAAAATATCGCACTGAATTATATATTCATATGTCTTTAGGTTGATAGGAGGCTAGAAATGTATTTGAAAATGTATAAGGAAACTTGTGAAATTATATTCTGTTTTACAAATGTGTCTAAGCTTGCTTTAATTATTTGTCCAAAGATTGAGTCTTCCATTTGAAACAATAACAATAAAACTTAACAAAGAGTTTATTATAATGTAATTTAAATTTTTTATTAGTAGCCTGTTTATCAATTATGTTGTGAACTCCAGCAGACTTGCTGGCCATACAAATATTCAAAACTCACGATGCTTGCTTAAGAAGCAAAATAGTGTTTCAGGTTAATAGGCTGATTTATTTCCTTTCAGGAAGAAGGTGCAATGATGATGAGAAAAGAGAACAATAATCACTGCACACAAGGAAATTGAAGTTTTATAATAATTAGAATCACACAGACTAGCATATGGGCATAAAAGGCAAAATGCAATATATTAAGTGAT